CTCCCCTGCCACAACTTCAGACCATTTCCTCTGCTCCTGTCATTGTTCCCTTGGGGGAGGAGGCCCAGTAAAACTGCATCTCCCCGGCCATCCCCATTTGGTGGGACCATTTGTTGTTTGCTCCAAAGCACAAAATAGAGAAAATCCAGATATTCTGAAGTCACAGAATCACAGAATTATCTAGGCTAGAAGAGACCCTCGGGATCATCGAGTCCAGCCATCCAGCCTACTCTAAAGTTCTCCCCTACACCATATCCCCCAACACCACATCTAAACGGTTCTTAAACACAGCCAGGGATGGGGACTCAACCCCCTCCCTGGGCAGCCTGTTCCAATGCCCGACCACTCTCTCTGTGAAGAATTGTTTTCTAATGTCCAGTCTAAACCTACCCTGGTGCAACTTGAACCCATTACCCCTTGTCCTATCATCTGTAACTTGGGAGAAGAGACCGACCCCCATCTCTCTACACCCTCCTTTCAGGGAGTTGTAGAGAGCAATAAGGTCTCCCCTCAGTCTCCTCTTCCCCAGACTGAACAACCCCAGCTCCCTCAGCCTTTCCTCATAAGACTTACTCTCCAGACCCCTCACAAGTCAAACCCTTATTTGTTCAACAAGGAAATCTGGCGAGAACCCTGCAGAAGGCAGACTTGAGAGAAGCAGCTGTCCAAAAGCGAGCCCTTCTTGTCCCATGGCTGCGCTCCCCGGGGGGGGTCACAGCATTACAGCACTGGTTTTGCCAATTGAAGTATTTTCGGAGCGTTTGATATTGCTGTTAGCCCCACTGAGCACGCGGCAGAGCAGGCTGGACTCTGCCTTGGATTGCACCTCAAAAGCAGGATCGTTAACAGTGTTTTGACAATGAACTCACACCTATTCACAGGATCCACGCCAGAAAGGGGACAGCCTAATTTTCAGATTCTGTTGCGAACTTCATAGGAAGAAAATTCCCTCTTCACACTTGTCAAATGTGCAAGTTACACCTGGAAGTATGTTGTGATGATGACTGTGGAGGCCTGCAATGTGCTGTGTGATCGATTCCATGATTTTTTATGTCTTAGAAGGGGTTTTAAAACCATGGTTCCATGAATCACCTGGAATTCTCATCTTTTTCTTTCCAGAAAAGTCTGTGGTCACGTGGCTGCAGAGAAATCATGAACACCTCGACCTAAAGATTTAGCCCCCAAAGGCAAAGAACCACTTCTTTCCTACTTTCTAAATTTTTGTTGTTTTTTGTTCTGCTGTGTAAGGGGGAGGACTGGATTCCTGCTCCTCAGCTGCCTGGAACAGGCATCGCTGAGTGCCAGCTACGGGCACTTCTGGAGAACTGCACTCCCCAGCGCGCCGCTCCGCAGCAACGGCCGGATCCCGACAGGATGGATCCCAGCAGCGTCCCCCTGTCTGCAGAGATCCCCGTATCAACTAGGCAGCTTCCACCGGCACAGAACAAGGCAGATCCCCCTCTCCATGAAAACCCCACATCCCGGTTGAGCAACACAGGACTAACCTCTCTCCTAACGCTTGGGAAAACTGCACCTTGTTTCCCCCGACTCCCCTTCCCGAGTATTGTGTCCAGTTTTGGGCACCTCAATCCAAGAGAGATCTGGAGGTGCTGGAGCGAGTGCAGAGGAGGGCAACGAAGCTGGTGAGGGGGCTGGAAAACAAATCGTCTGAGGAGCGGCTGAGGGAGTTGGGACTGTTTAGTATGAGGAAGAGGAGGCTGAGGGGAGACCTCATCACTCTCTACAACTTCATGAAAGGACACTGTAGAGAGGTTGGTGCTGGTCTCTTCTCACAGGTAATTAGTGACAGAACGAGAGGGAACGGCTTCAAGCTCCAACAGGGGAGGTTTAGATTGAACATTAGGAAAGAATTTTTCACCGAAAGAGTGGTCGGGCATTGGAACAGGCTGCCCAGGGAGG